AAAAAATCAGCCGGGCGTGGTAGTGCATGCCTGTAATTCCCGCTACTTGGAAGGCTGAGGCGGAAGGATTGCCAGAGCCCAGCAGGTCGAGGCTGTGGTGGCCGGGAGCGGCCACTGCACTCCAGTCTGGGCGAGAGTGAGACTCCAACACAAAAAAAAATGAAAAAAGAGAAAAAGATCCATCCCTGTATCTCTTAGAAGTGAGAATAGCTTTCCTTTTTCTTTCTTTCTTTCTTTTTTTTTTTTTAGTCCGAGTCTAACTCTGTCACCCAAGCTGGAATGCAGTGGACACTCACAGCCACCACAGCCTTGATCTACTGGGTTCAAGGAATCCTTCTGCCTCAGCCTTCCAAGCAGCTGAAACTACAGGTGTGCACTACCACACCCGGCTAATTTTTTGATTTACTGTAGAGACGAGGTCTCACCATGTTGCCTAGGCTGGTCTCAAACCCATGGGCTCGGGCAATCCCCTCGTCTCCACCTCCCAAAGTGCTGTGATTACAGGTGCGAGATACTATGCCTGGCTGTATGTTCATTTTTAAATTAACATTGGTCAAGTCTGAGATTAATTACCTGAAGTAAAGTGGATATTGGGAATCGGTCACTCTAACTGGATTCATGGAAAAGGGTGAAACATGTTGAGTACATTGCAAATAGACATGAACTTCCAGCCATCACTGGTTACCTCACCTGAATCCTTACCCTTTATTCAAACACAAGATAATATTGACAATTGATGATTATTTGGTGTTAATTATTATTCAGATATTTTGCAAGTCTCTACATGTGTGGTTGACTTTAACCTCAGATGGGGCCTCATGCAGCCCTTGGGAATGATTAAGGAAAGCTTTTGGGTGATAACCATGAACATTCATTAACTTTTGTTGTTGTTGTTGTTGTTGTTGTTGGAGTCTCACTCTGTTGCCCAGGCTGGAATGCAGTGGCATGCTCACAGCCACCGCAGCCTCAACTTGCTGGGATCAGGTGATCCTTCCGCCTCAGCCTTCCAAGTAGCTGGAACTACAGGCATGTGCTACCATGCCCGGCTAATTTTTAAAATTTACTGTAGAGATGAGGGCTCGCCAAATTGCCCGGGCTGGTCTTGAACCCATGGACTCAGGTAATCCACTCACCTCGGTCTCCCAAAGTGCTGAGCCACTGAGCCCTTACTAATTTTTCTATATATTGTAGAGATAAGGTCTCACCAAGTTGCCTGGGCTGGCCTCAAATCCCTGGTCTCAGGCAATCCTCTCGCCTCACCCTCCCAAAGGCTTGAGCCACTGCACCCAGCAACATTTATTTGATAAACGTTAACTCCTAACTGTGTGTCAGACACTGTTCTAGGCGCTGAAGAGAACAAGACAAAGCAAGAACTCGCTGGGAAAGAGGGATGAGGGGCTTGAACGGGTTGGGGGAGGGGCAGCTAGAAATGTGGACATCTGACCAGCTGTGGTGGTGTGAACCCCTCTGTCATGTCGCATTTTATATTGTATAATTAGATGCTCACATTTCTTTTTTTTGTTTTGTTTTGTTTTTGAGTCGGAGTCTCACTCTGTTGCCCAGGCTGGAGTGCAGTGGGAAGCTCACCACCACCGCAGTCTCGACCTCCTGGGCTCAGGCAATCCTCTCACCTCCGCCTCCCAAAGTGCTGGAATTACAGGCATGAGCCACCATGCCTGGCTTGCTTTTTTGTTTTTTAGTCGGGGGTCTCACTCTGTCGCCCAGGCTGGAGTGCAGTGGCATCATCACAGCTCATCTCAGCCTCAACCTCCTGGGCTCAGATGATCCAACCGCCTCAGCCTCCAAGTAGCTTGAACTGCAGGCGCGTAGCCATGCCCGGCTAATTTTTAAAGTTTTTTTGGAGAGATGAAGTCTCACTATGTTGCCTAGGTCGGTCTGAAACTCCTGGGCTCAAGCAATCCTCTCGCTTCGGCCTCCCAAAGAGCTGGGATTACAGGCGTGAGCCACTGCGCCCGGCGAAAAACCCTAAAAACAAAAAAAAAACCCAAAGCAAAAAGCACCCAAACAAGACAGGGGACTACACTACTGGGGTATTCAGAAAAAGGGTTTTGAGGTGTTGTATGTTTGCGTCCGAGATCTGCGGTTCTGCCCGCAGCCCGGGACACTCCCCACCGCTTCCCGGGAGCTGCCCGGAACCTCATGCCGGAGCGGATCTCCTCCCGCCCCTCGCCCCTGGAAGCCACGCCCCTCGCCCCGGGGTCCGCACTCTGCCCCCGCCCAGGAGGCGCTCAGACCTCGCGCCTGCGCACTGCGGACTTGCGCGGAGGCGGCGGGGGCGGGGCGACCTCAGGCTCCGCCCCTCGGCGCTGCTGTGGGCTGCGAGGACCCCTTGTGCTCCATTCGCTGGCAGGGCTGGGCCGAGAGCGGCTGGCAGGGCGGCCGTGGGCAGGATGAGTGCAGCCTCGGATCCCGTGGTCATCGTCTCGGCGGCGCGGACCATCATAGGTGAGTGTCACAGGAGCGCCGAGGGCCTGAGCGGTGCAGCGTGGGAGAAGACGTGAGGGCAAGAGGCCGGCCAGGCCAGGCCGCGAGGACCTCTGGGGTGCCCGGGACACTTGGAATGGGATCCCTCGCGCTTTCCCCGGCCCGGCGCGGCAGTCCCGCCTCCCTTCATCGCACGTCTGGCCAGCTCCGCCCCTCATGCTCGGATTGGCTTTCCGGGGTAGAGCCACCGCGCCGTCCGGCGCTCCTATTGGCTGGTGTCGGGAGTGTCCCTCTCGCGAGGCCCGTGATTGGCCAGCTTCGGGAGGCACCATGGGTCAGCTTGCGGCCCCAGGGGCGGGACCGCTCGAACCACCGAGTAAAGCCGTGGGCTAGAGTTGAGCTGGTTGAGCTACGATGAGTTGTTGCTTCCGTCTCCTCAGGGCCGCACAGTTTTCCAAGCCCTGGACCTTCTGGCTCCTTTTATGGGGGAAGCATGGGGCCGCATCCATTCCCTCGAATTTGGGCAAATAGTTGGGGTCCGGCGGCTTCCATTGGCCTCTCGGGAAGTTGCCTGTCCGGTCACACATGCTCTGCCCTCAGCGAATGTGGGGGCTGGTGGAGGGGGAGGGCACCGGCTCCGGGGGCCCCGGGGTTCTGCAGCACGTGGGTCTCTGCATTGCCCTCGGGGTTTCAGATGACCGCTCTTGCCAACATTCTGTTTAGGCTCCTTCAGCGGTGCCCTAGCCACTGTTCCTGTCCATGATCTGGGCTCCACTGTCATCAAAGAAGTCCTGAAGAGGGCCATGGTGGCTCCAGAAGAGGTGTCCGAGGTCATATTTGGACATGTTTTGGCAGCAGGTAACTCAGTGACCCCAGGAGAGGTCAGTGACACCGGGAAAGGTCACATGCACATGCTCACTTACGTTCTTGCGTGTTTTTTGTTTTTTTGAGTTGGAGTCTCACTGTCGCCCAGACTGGAGTGCAGTGGCCGCTCCCGGCCACCGCAGCCTCCACCTGCTGGGCTCCGGCGATCCTTCTGCCTCAGCCTTCCGGGTTGCTGGAACTACAGGCACGCGCTACCATGCCCGGCTGATTTTTTGATTTATTGTAGAGATGAGGTCTCGCCTGCCCCGGCGGGTCTCGAACCCGCGAGCTCAGGCAATCCACTCACCTCAGCCTCCCAAAGGCGCGGGATTACAGGCTGAGCCACTGAGCCCGCCACGTTCTTGCATTTAAACTTTTGCTCAGAGTTCTCTCTGTTAGAATTTCTCCTATGGCTCTTCCTTCTGGCCTTGTCAATAGCTTCTGTCCAAGTTAAGACTCAGCTTTTCCTGAATGAACCTGGACCACTGACCTACACTGCCTTTTCTTTCTTTCTTTTTTTTTTTTTTGAGTTGGAGTCTCACTCTGTCTCCCAG